GGTATATTCCCTAGTAATATTAAACATCGTCAAGCTGTTACAAAGCTCAGAATTTCAGCTCATAGGCTACTTGTTGAGACTGGTCGACATACGTTCCATATATTGATAAACAAATTTGTCAACATTGCGATTTAAATTAGGTCGGAAACGAACATCACTATTTAATGTGCTAGCTGCAATAATACAAGATTTTCTGAGCTCAGAGCAGATTTTATCTATAAGCTTATAACTAAATAGATCACTTGTTTCATTCTATTAATAATCATATAAAAGTTTATAGCCGAATGACAAAGTCTATGGCGGGTCTATAGATGAAAGACAAATTCTATAGCTGAATGACACAGCCTATAGCCAAATGACGTCTATAGCCAAATGACAAAGTCCATAGCTGAATGGCAAAGTCTATAGCCGAATGACAAAATCTATAGCCGAATGACAAAGTCGGCGTCTATAACTGAACGACAAACTCTATAGCTGAATGACACAGCCTATAGTCAAATGACAACGTCTATAGCCAAATGACAATGTCTATAGCCGAATGACAAAGTCTATAGCCGAATGACAAAGTCTATAGCCGAATGGCAAAGTCTATAGCCGAATGGCAAAGTCTATAGCCGAATGACAAAGCCTATAGCCGAATGACAAAGCCTATAGCCGAATGACAAAGTCTATAGCCGAATGACAAAGTCTATAGCCGCATGACAAAGTCTATAATATAGCCGAATGACAAAGTCTATAGCCGAATGACAAAGTCTATAGCCGCATGACAAAGTCTATAATATAGCCGAATGACAAAGTCTATAGCCGAATGACAAAGTCTATAGCCGAATGACAAAGTCTATAGCCAAATGAGAAAGTCTATAGCCGAATGCCGTCAAACTGATCGCTAATTTCATATGACGAATGGTATGTTGATAAACAATTCAGATTAGGGAATATTTACACTGAAAATGCAGCATAAAACAGAGCCTCGCTAATTTCGGTGACAGATTGAAGTGGGTTCGTATGTGATAGGGAAGTTGGTTTATCAATTTCAAGTGGTTCAGGTACATTTTAGTCCACCCCCTAAAATTATCAAATTTTTCCCCATTTTAAAGGTTTGATTTTCCGACTGCTGTTTCTCGCAGTACAACATCTAAATGCACGCTGATTTAAACGCAATATTAACTATAACAAAAAAGCCTTCTGACAATGGCTTCTCTATTCTAAATTTTTCGAAGCAAATAGCTAAATTTAAATTAACTCAATGTAACTTAGTTACCAACAAACGCGCTCAAAAAGACCTATTTACAAAGAGGAACTTGACAAATCTATCAAATATAAACAAAATTGAATGTTAATTTGTACGTACCACATCATAAATGCGAGGTTTGTCGGTCATATTTCCAAATTCCGATGCACGAAATCGTCGCTTGACAAAAATCACAGCGTCTTCTTAAATGCTAGCGAATTTTATTAAAGCGATTTAAGAATGCTTCTCGACGCGTCTGGTCGTTGCCACGTTGTCAGAAAAAGGTTTAATCTGTTAATTTAAATACGTAAATGAGTTTTAAGTTCGTTTTAATCATCCATTCTTGGCCTATTTGCCTTTTGCCTGTTTTCGATCAAATAATCAGATTTAAAATTCAAATTGCGACCTTCGACCTGTACATCATTCCAATTGTAAAATTCCTTGTTACAAGCTCTCATATTCCTTAGTTTTCCCAAAAATGTACGGTTTCCGAAGAGTTTTTACTACAAAATTCCTGTTTTTAAGGATAAACTCTGAGAAGTGAGAATCATCATTGAAGTGTTCGTGGGCGTTTATCAGCGGATGACGGATGAGAAATGATCGTACGTTATGTAAATCCAAATATATCAATGTCAGAATGTTTGGTGCGCAAAATATTCCATTTTTCCTCACATGCGTCTGAGGAAGCCGCCGTATTTACTTGCAAATCGAGTCGAAGCCTTTTTTAATAGGGGCTTACTCCAATTGCAAGGGGCTTACTTCGAGGGAAATTTGACGGGCCTACCCAAGTAACAAACAGCCCGAAATTCTGCAATTATAATAATCATATACACATAAAATCTACCCGGCGCATGGATTTTCAAACTCGTTTTATATTTTAAGCTACAGAAAATTCTTCCGAAAACATGGATAATACAATCAAAGGCATTCATATGGAATGACCAATTGTTAGTACTGCTTGTAAGCTTGCTATGAGAAATTCACAGTACCACACTGGCTAAAATATACGACACAAGAACTGACATAAATCTCGTTGATGTCTATAAGCAAAATAAAATATAGCTGTATCACATATCATTATTACACACGAGAAATTTTATGTGAAATTGGAACATATCACATGTAAAAAACAATTTTGATGGGCAGATTGCGCCGAGCAATTTGCAACCGACACGAACAAATTGCAAGTTGAAATTCACAAATGTTTTGTAAACAAAGCCTCTGATTGGACTATAAGAAAGGGGGAAGCACCAATCCAGTTGCTCAGACTATTTGATTGGCTTCCCTCTTTCCTATAAAGGCTATAATCCAATCAGAGGCTTTGTTTGCAAATCTTTTGTGAATTTCCAACTTGCAATTTGTTCGCGTCGGTTGCAATTTGCTCAGAGCAATCTGCCTATCAAAATTGCAATATTGTGGGGCAATATTGCAATGTTGCTCGCAAGAGAACATCCGGTTTGACTGTAAGTTGAATTTATTTTGACATTTTTTTCACACGTAAAATTACAGGACAGATCTAATTCAAATTTAACGTCTATGACACAAACGAAAGAAAATACAGGTTGAAAATTGCTATTCCATTCAGTTGGCTAATACGACCACACAAACAAGCATGTTTTGTACATAAACAATCTTCTTCAAAACCAACTATTTCACATCTGTGTTTATGGTAGTTGTCAGTATATATTTCTATGTTCAAACAATAAAGGGCAAAGACCCATTTCTCTAAGGGAACGTGTTATATGTTGCTTAAATTATAGGGGTAATATCAATGTGGTGATTCGGTATATAGGGAGCTTTTAAAGGTAGTTAGGTGAATAGGTTATTTAAAACTTTTAGTGGTATGTTCTACTGATAGTTCTCGCATGTTTCAATCTTAACCAGTTTCTTCGGCGTCATAATCGGGATTTTTCTTCAAGATGGCAAAGCCTTCTAAAAATGGTGTCAGAGATAAATCTAATACAAGCGTTAAGAAACTGTCACAAATGCTAGGTAAATTATATTACATATCTGGCACGACTTTCTACTAAACTAACTTTATTTATACTGGATAGTTCTATCAGTTCTCAACTGTTCTCCCTAGAGGTCCAGTAAGAGTCGTTTCTTATTGATCCAGTGTTACTACAGGAGGAAACCTAAACTAAACTAACTTTATTTATACTGGATAGCTCTATCAGTTCTAAACTGTTCTTCCTAGAGGTCCAGTAAGGATCATCTCTTATTGATCCAGTGTTACTACAGGAGGAAACCTAAACTAAACTAACTTTTTTTATACTGGATGGCTCTATCAGTTCTAAACTGTTCTTCCTGAAGGTCCAATAACGATCATCTCTTATTTTACTACAAGTGGAAACTTTTGGTAGAGTCAAACTGGAAGCATTCTTCTCACATGTGACTGAGGTAAAATTATAATCAGACAACTTCATATTGCAGGAATCAAACCCGTTACCCAACCCCCCCCCCCTTCCTGAAACACCGCCTTTGAAACTAGCCTGCAAACAGGCTGTCCTGTATGTACATGAGAATAAAATCAGATCATCAAAAAGATACATTCTTCGGTCGCTAGTTCAGCACGTTCTCCATGCGCTAACAATACAGGCGTAGTGTGAGTTTGAAATCCTGTAATTGTCTTGGGTTTGCCCGCTTGACCAACGACATCTACCGCCTAGAAAATATAGAACGAAAATTGGTAGGTTTCACCATGGATAATCAAATAAATGAATAGGACTCTAGCTGACGTCACAGTCTAAACCTAGTTGCAATCTGTGACGTCACGCGTATTGCCAAAGTTCTAGGCATTTTTGTTGTTTCGCTATATTTCCGCTTTAAAAGAGTAATATTGAAGCATAAACTGGTCTAATTGTTTTAAAAACATGCCTAAGCCACGACAAAGTATTCAAGGTAAATGTTTTTCGTCTTTGTTTTGTATTTTTTTTACATTTGTAGCAACGAAATGGCGTCACAAATGGCAAACGAAATTTGCGATGCATTTTTCACTGTTTAGTGCTTGAAATATTTGCTAAAATTGACTGGGAATACTTAGAAATTTCATCGTAGAATGGCGTAGTTATATTTATTTGCTCTTTGACTAAAATGTTTAGCTGTATTATTGCTAAACATGCCGTTTTTGAGAATTTGGTTTGCAACTAGGTTTCAACATCCAATCACGCCATCAGCCCATTGAAAACATTAGGTCACGTCAGCTAGTTTCCTATCCATTTATTTTATTATCCATGGTTCCACTAACCATAACATGCAGTTATCAGAGTGAAAAAATAATGTTATCGTCGATTTCAAGTCACTTTTCAATGCGCGGTTCCCATGTTCGTTGCAAACTTGCCAATTACGTTTCCAAGTTCGCAACAAAGTTCGCAAAAAAATAATTAAACTATCGCAAACAAATGTTCATAATTCAAGTTGAAATTAACAATTCAATGGAAAGTTCTTGGTCCAGTGTTCTACCAAGAAGGTTTGTATTTCATTAAATTGGTTATTATTATTGAGTATGAACATTTGTTTACAAACAAAGTTCAAACATTGAAATGAACTTGCGAACTTTGTTGTGAAGTTCGCGCCCAATTTCCGAACTTGGAAACGTGATTGGCAAGTTCGCAACGAACTTGGGAACCGCGCATTGAAAAGTGACTTGAAATCGAGAGATATTTAGGTTTTTTATGTCAAGGTTATAGAACCTACCTGCCCCACCCTGACTGAGACTTGCATTGGACGCAGTTCAGTATCAAAAGCGACCAACATTCGAGGCTGCATAGCGGATACCAAGTAGAACAATAAGTAATGACTTTTACTGAGTATGGCTGAAAATAAATCAAAGAAAAAATAGTGTCATAAACATTTGGAATTACTCCAGACAATTAAATAGTTCAGTGGTTAGTGTTTCCATATAAGGAAAAGGGTTAAGCACATGTATTATTGTATTTTTGTGCCTTGAAAATATATTGTTGTTTTGTGTTTGCGAGTGGTTTTAGAGCGAAAATGTAGGTCAAAATCGAATCTTTATTACATGGCGCCCAACGTGGGGCTCATATCTAGTGGTATCGAGAGCCCAATAACGAAAATAACCGAAAATATTGGCGATTAATATACGATAATACGAAATTATAAACGAAATACACGATGTCTTTGAGCGAAGGTCTTGCACGTTTACGAGCAATTCGAGGCGGTCATCGGGCCGTTTTGACGAAATATTTGAACGAATTAGAGGAACTACTCGCTACAGCCGAAATATCCGAAGAATCTCTTATGCGACTCGAAGTTTTAAAGCAACAAATTGACGGAAAACAAAGGACATTAAACGAACTCGATGCGAAAATATTAAACGAGATAAAAATTGAAGACGTAGAAAAAGAAATCGACGAAAGCGAAGCCATTGACATTAAAGTTACCGTAGCAAGGGAAAGAATCGAACGAGCTAAGAAGCAACATGCGACTCCACAGCATACAAATATTGTCGAAAATAGTCAAAATACGAATGATCATGGTGCGGTTGCTATGGCGACGTCGAGCTCAAATTTCACGAGATTACCGAAATTACAATTGCCACATTTTAAGGGTGACGTGACAAAATGGAACTCATTCTGGGATGGTTTCGATTCAGCAATTCACTCGAACGGAGCTCTCAACAAAATAGATAAGTACAATTATTTAAATTCATTATTGGAGGGCCCAGCTGCTAGGGCTGTACAAGGCCTTACACTCACAGAAGCAAATTATGATTCAGCCATAGAGTTGTTGAAATCGAGATTTGGGAAACCACAACAGGTGATAAGTGCACACATGGACGAACTTCTGCACCTTCCCAACTGTAATCCTGACAAATCGTCATCACTTCGGTTTGTCTATGACAAAGTTAGCATACATGTGCGTGGGTTGGAGTCGTTAGGCGTGTCATCAAAGGAGTATGGTAGTTTGTTGATACCGATTGTAATGACAAAACTTCCCAATGATTTACGAATGAGGATAGCCAGGGAGACATCAGGGGATGTTTGGAAAATTGATGAAATTTTAGAAATTTTGCGAAAGGAAATCGAAGCCAGAGAGGCTAGTGAGCGTTTTAAAGTAGCTGAGCGCCAAAAACACTATGAACCCTCCCCTCGAAAGCCTTTACCAACCATAGGCAGCACCTTATTAAGTCAAGAAGAAGTTCAATTCAAAATTCGCTGTGTTTATTGCAATACCCCTCATTACTCGGCTTCGTGTCCCACTGTGACAGATCTGACCAAACGAAGAGAAATATTAGTTAATGCCAAACGCTGTTTCAAATGTCTAAGGCAAGGGCATGAAGTAAGAGACTGTCGAAATCCAAAACTCTGTCGTAACTGTGGGGGGCGTCACCATCAGTCCATATGTAGTAAGGGTTTCATACCGCGAAACCTTCCAGAGAAGAATGAGCCAAATAAGAATGAGCCAAATAAGGATGAGCAGAATAAGGATAAGGGTGCAGGTAACGTGGGGAGCAAGGACTCTACACTGACTGTGGGTAATCTAGTAACTAGCAAAAGGCATGTTTTACTTCAAACTGCTCGTGCAGTGGCAACTAATGAAGATGGTTCAAAAACTTGTCCAGTACGTATTCTCTTCGATAGTGGTAGCCAGCGGTCATACCTCACTGATGATTTAAAACGAAAATTGAATCTGAATCCAATCAAAACTGAGACGTTGTATTTAAATACATTTGGTGATTCCAAACACGAAAGAAAATCCTGCCAGTTGTTTAATCTGAACTTACGTGATCGTGATAATGAGATAACCCCGATTTGGGCCCTCAATTTCCCTGTTATTTGTTCACCCTTACCATCTACGGTGGACATTTTTGATTATCAGCATATTCGTGGTCTAGATTTAGCCGATAGTAGTGAGATCCAAGACGACCATCATAGTGACACTGTTGATGTCCTGATAGGGTCGGATCACTATTGGAGCTTTATGTATGGTGAAACTATCCGTGGTGATTCAGGGCCTGTCGCAGTGAGCAGTAAATTTGGTTGGGTTTTATCTGGGCAGACTGAGTTAACCAATGAACGGGGTGTGAGACGAAAGGAGTCATCAGCAAATTTAGTCATTTCTTCCTGTACCGAAGATTTCCTCAACGACAACGTGCCGCAAAATGATCAACTTGTAGACTGTTTGAAACGGTTTTGGGAAACTGAGGCAATCGGAATTGCGGACAGTGATGATCTTAAGACTAACCCTGTCCCTAACAATTTTATCGAAGATATTGCGTTTGATGGTCGAAATTATGAAGTAGGTTT